TTTTAATTGACTCTTTCATGACAATTGTGGATACTCAGTAATGATCAATAATAAATTATGATCCATTTATCGCTGAACATAAATACCAATGATGTCAACCACATGATCGCTGCTATCACTGTTCATATTGAATGAATTACTTACTAAATTCACACTCTATACATATGAAATAATAAAATATACATAATTTTCAGTATTCAATCTTGTGGATTGATTGAGGTTAAGCACTGACTCCGCCGGATACCGGCAAAGAGTTTAAAATGCTAACAGTGGAATAAAATGCACGCGTTTCGAATTATCTGGTGCTCCTGAAGTTGGATGTACATATATCCCAGTGTTATTATTTATTCTGTTGAGTAAATACAGTTCCTTTCCTTTCAAATTATTTGGAATTTATGCCATTTCACAAAGTTCTAACAAACTTACAATGGTTTATAATTTACATTAACAATAAATACCAGAGATTGATATATTAGAACAAGCTAGTTATCTGAAGTCTGGAGAATCCATGCGAACGGTGCATTTCAAAGCAATTATTTAACCAGATTTCTTCATCTATCATACAATTTAACTACCAGTTATCCAACCGGTGTCTTACTACACATTCGAATGTAAACTCTTGAAGAAATATGAAGAAATTATTGGTATAAGAGGGCAAAGCAGTTCTAGCATTTCCTGCTTTTGTGTAGCAAACATAAGGTGTATTAATTACACTCCATGTCAACACTAACAATGTTTCCGGATATATTTGAGTTGTTACCACCTCATTGATCATCCAGTGACTACCAGTATTCCCGCAGTGTGAAAACACACAACAATCAATTATATGTATTGAGAAGTGTGGCATACAATGGCATACAATACAGTGAATAGGATTTTTTCATGTTCGAACAACAGAAGGAAGAAGATTCCTTATCATCAATTCAGACTGATAATCTATTATTATTATTATCAGTGTCACTTTACTCACCAGTCACACTCCTCGTTCACTATGTAAATTCAGTTTGAATGTTATAGGACAAGTGGGAAAAATTCAACATCTAGTCTTTATCACGTTCAACGCTAATGAAAACCACATACTGAGTGCTTGAGAATATTTGAGAACACATAGAACAGTGTGTTTAGACACATTACTCTGGAATAAGGCCACAAGTGTCTGACTGTCCGATTGTTTCAGCAGACACGAGTGATGATTAGTCAGTCCACAGATAGCTCTCACTGACAAAAATTATACAAGATGTTTGGAAACCACATTTCGAAACTAAGTTTAAATGTTCGCTTCTAGACTATCACGGAACAAACTGGAATATTGAAATTGGAGTTGTCTGCAAAATATACCAGGATTGAATGACCGATTGGTGCATACTACAGAAGTTTGGATGATTATGCACTATTCGTTTCGTTCATCGGACTATCATTACTTCTAACAATCAAACAGAATCATATTTAAATACGAAACTCAAGTGTAAGATTTGTAGAAGTTGATCATCATGGAACAATGATATATTTATTAATAGAAAACTAGAAATAACACATCGATTGTTCCTTCATCATACATTCTAAAGCAGTGAAGCAATCAGGTCCAGTATGATTCCACCCTGATCAGCTTGCGGCTTCTCAACTTTGGTCGCCACTACTGATCTGTTTGTCGACGACGTCTTCCTACCCTGTCCTAATCGTCTTCCTAAATGAAAACAAAAATAATAATCTACGAATTCACAAAATGCAATGATAAAATATTTTGATGAGCACGATTCATGAAACCAAAATACTGGTTACATGAGAGAAAATGATACAATCAAAATATAATAACGATTCTTCGACAAATTGAGTTGTGTGAATCATACCTGGTTTCTGCAGCTTTCCACTTGGTTTGGAAATTTTCTTTGATGCTACACTTTTTGGTGTAGTGGCATTATCTAGAAGGAACGAATTAGTGTAAATAATTCACACATCGTGACTCACCTTTTGTGTCAGCTTCGATCTCGTTTAGTATCGTGTATAAACACATGCAGATGAAGAGTACCTATATTTTGCAAATAGTGTTATGCATTCAATCACTTCTCACCTTGATTGCGTTCATTGTTGGTGTACAATTATGATGACTGTTCAGCGTAATATGTGTGTATTTATATACATGAGTGCAGTGAAGTGAGAACAGGAACGAATGAATTGGAGTAGATTAGCACGTGTCCATCGATTTGTTTGCAATAAACTGTCACCTGTCACACAATATTATGGTCATGTGTTCCAATCGATTCCTACTTTGGTCGAAATAAGGAACTGTAGCTTCCGTAGTAGGTGTCAACGTGGAGAAGTTAGTGGATTGGAAATTTCAGATACGGATTGATATTGATATTCTGTATTGTGCTTCGTCTATAAACGTGTCACTGATATTCAATAGCAAAATACATCATTCGAGTCACGTTTGATATTTGTAGTGAGTGTTCATGTGGTGAGTATGAGTCCACTTTGATAAGTCACTGAATCGTTAGTCGGATGACGAGAATGTCATCCATCTGTGATAAGATGAGCCGCGTATTTACATCGTAAATTAAATCAGATAATTTGTCACTTGCCGTTATAATGTTCGTTCACAATTTACCGATGTTGCTTCTCACGACTTAACATTCACGCGTTAATGTTTTGTCAAGTCACAATTTCGTGAAACGTTCTTTATTCTCACTTTTCAATTCACAAGCTTGTATTCATATGAAAATTCTGATTTCATAGTAGAATGTCAAATATTTTCTCTACTTATGGAAGTGATATGTGTTGAAATGTTGACGAAAATATCTCTACTGAATGTGATTTTGTTAACAGTTTGCCACATTTATGGAAACGATCTGTTTCACTTGCATTGATTTTCCATTCATTATTATTCACATAATGATGAATTGAAATATAGATACTGAAGATTGAATAGTGAATTCTGAATTTGTATTGATGTGTTGTTATCATATGCGAGCACATTGCACTCCCTCAAATTCAATTGAGTGAACTGGAAGTATTCGAGACCATTTTGACATACTGAATCGTACCTCAATCTGATACAATAATAACATAAATTGAGAGAGACTAATTTCATGGTATGATGACTTGAATGATGTATTTCCCTAGTCAATATCGGTGACACGACAATAGACGAAGCACAAAACATAATATTGATGTTATTCAGTATTTGACAAATTATCTGATCAAAAATTATCGTGGACAGTCAGGATTCAGTGAGATCTATGTGTGTATGTGAGTTGAAACATACATAGTTTTAAATTGAATACAACATTTAGTGAACACAACAGTCTGTACTTTGAAAGGCATCAGCTGAATTGATTTGCTAGACTTCAGTTATCTTGCTTAATTTAGGATGTCAATGTGTGGCTCATCTTATCACAGATGGATGACATTCTCGTCATTCGATTTACGATTCAGTAACTTTGCGACGTAGATTTATAGTCACCTCAATTTATTGTAGATTTCATAATTATATTTTGGTTTTATCGTTTACTCTTGTGTATTGAGTGTTTTGGTTTCATGAATCGTTTTCATCAAAATAGGTTACTATTGCATTTTGTGAATTCGTAGATTATTATTTTCGTCTTCATTCATGAAGATCATTAAGAATGGTTATGAATAAGTCGTCGACAAACCAACCAGCACAAGCGATCGAAATTGAGAAGGCGAAATCTGATCAGAGTGTGATCATACTGGGCCTAATCGGTGCACTGCTTCATATGTATGATGAAGGATTAACTTGTGTGTAATTTGCTTGGTTTGAATAATGAATGCATCGGCTTTCCATGAATTCGGTCGTTTTATTCAAAGGTTTTGATATTGAATATAGCTGAAAATTTTTTCAAATGTTTTCTTTGATTATTTTGATAAATCATTTCAAATTTACTTGAAATGTGATTGTTTGTTTCTCTCATCTTGTGTCAATTTGTTTAGATTATTATGTCTTTTTGATTGAGATCATGAACCGATTTATGTTAGACCACCACATTTGGAAGCCTGGAAACACCAGATAGCCGTTTTGTTTTAATGTGGGACTCCTCAGCAGTCATCATCCACGAGTCCACCCAGAGGGATTAGAACCCAAAACGTTTCTGTCTCGCGCCAGGCGTTTAACCAACTAGACCAATGAGCAGGCATCCAACGGTGTTTATGTCTAACTCCAACTAATCCTGCAAATTGAGCGACACATCCACCATTGCCATCAGTGAGTAAGTACCTCACAACTGACCTGTTTGTACTCCATAGGACGAAACGGCTGTCCAGTGCTTCCAGGTTTTCCATATTGGTCTAGCTTCAATTGACTCATGATATCAGCTGTTGTAATTACTCAAATCTTTACAAAACACCATCTGATATTTATATCATTACTTACATTTAGACATCATATTTGTTTATTAGTTACTATTCAACCATATTTTCATATTATTATTATGTTATTTTTTTAAAATATTAATATAGTGGTACTTGGCTAATGTGAAACCACCCCCACCGCACTCCAAAAAAAAAAAGAAAAAAGGAAAGAAATAAAATCAATTCATATTATTCTACTCTTCTATTATTACTTTATCCCTACTCAATTTTATTAAAGTTTATTAATTTCGCATTAAAGTAACACACTTTAGTACATTCAATCATTTTGTTGTTGTTGTTGTTGCATGTTTACATTGATTATTAAAACTATTAATTCATAGTAACAATATTAATAATAATAATAATAATAATAATAATAATAATGATTTCATTTGATTACTATTCAAAGAGAAAAAAAGATTCCCATTCCCCAACTTCAATCAATTAATAAAATTAAAAAAAAATTTTTTTTTACATATCCCTTTTATCTTAATTATTTAAAAGAGAAAAGTTTTCTTTGTTTTTTCCTTTTTTGTTTTTTGTTGCTTTTTTGTTTTTTGTTGCTTTTTTTTGTCTTTTTTTTGTTTTTTTTTCTTCAAATGACAAATATAAAAATGTAATTTATACTGTATATCATAAATACTACAATTAAAGTGCATAATGATGCTTTATTTTTTTTACATAGAAAATGATTATTTATTTATATTAAGTGCATAATTACTAATATATATGTGATTATATCTATTTGGATAATGAATGTATCCTCTATCAAGTGTATTTATATGATACAATCATGATATACTTTCTTTCTATTCAATAAAGTATATACAATAAAGAATGAATTGGTTTCATGTTTATTTCTTTATTATTTTATTGTATTCATCAATCTATTGTAAAAAAGAGTATAATACATATGAAAATGATGAAGAAGAAGATAATAAACGATTTAATTATTTAGATTATTCATTAAAACAAGATATGATGAATGAAGATGGTTCTTCATATTATAATTCAAATAATAATGATAAACAACAATCAGAGAATAATGAACAAGGATCTGATTATACAGAAAATAATTATAATAAAAAATATGAAAATCAAAATGAAGAAACAGAAAATAATTCTGATAATTCTGATTCAAATGAATCTGAGAAATATTCTAACAATGATAATTATGGTTCAACTTATCATAATGATTATGATATCAATTCTAATGATGAAGATAATAATCATAATAATAATGATTATGGAGATAGTAATAATGGTAATGATAATAATGATGATAACAATAATAGTAATAATAATGATGATGAAAATGATGAAAATAGTTATAATAGAAAGAAATATTTGAAAAACTTGTTGAAAAAGAGACAATATAAACAAAATGAGAAGAAGTACTATTCTGATGAATCAGATGGCACTGGTTATAATGATGATTATAATAAACCATATCGTGACAATCGTTACAATAATAATGATAATGATGAAGGGAATTCGAACGACTACAATGAATATAAAAGTAAAACAAAGAGACGACCAAGAAAATATAAATACAAGAGAGAATCAGATGAAACAGATGAGACTGATGCTAATAATGATGATTCATATAAAAAATATTCAACAAGTTATACACGGGATAAATATCCATCAAGGAAAAAAAAACTTAATAGTAAACGTTACGACTACTATAATAATGCTGATAGTTATAATGATGAAGATGAGGATGATGGTAAAAATAAAGAAAACTATGATAATTATAGGAAAAAATCTAAAAAACCAATTAGACGAAGGAAAAAATATACAACAAATAATGATGATTATAGTAATGAAGATAATGATAATGGAGAAAATGAATATCGAAGAAAATATAAGCCAGTTTATAGGCGGAAAAAAAAGAATTCCAAGAGAAATAATTATAGACGTAAAAACTACGATTCAGATACTGAAGAGTATGTTCCACAAAAGAGAAATCGTAAAAAGAATTCTTATAAACGTAAATATGATAATGATAATGGAAAAGATGATGGTAATGATGATAATTATTATTAAGGAAATGACAGCAGATAGTAATAAATCAAATATTATAATAACAGATTTAGTATTAATAATGATCTTTTGACCAAAATGATAAGTAATTAATTCCTGTTTGTTTGTTTTTGTTGTTGTTGTTGTTGTTGATAAGAGCAGTGTAACAAAGATCTTTTACTCCATGACATATTTCATTCAATATACTCTATGCAAATTAATAAAACTCTTATGTAACAATATTCATTAACTGTTGTACACTTTTTAATTTTACCCAGTAATCATGTTATAAATTTGAGATTGAAGAAAAGCCATAGATAATAATAATAATAATAATAATAACAATGATAATGATAATAATAATAATAATTACTCGTCTGTCTTGTTTCAGTAGGAGTTAATGGTTAATACTAACTCGTTTTCATTTGGTACTGTTTAACAATACACACTGAAGTTAAGTAAATATCAGTATGTATATAGGTAATAAGTAGTCTACTCACAATATTTTAGGTTATTATACATATATACATGAACTGTATTCAAGCTTCAATTGTTCCTATGTACATAAATTGTACATAGATTGTATTTGACTAGAAATATGAACTTTACTAATTATTTTGTTGATTGTTTCTATGAGTCATTCACTTACAGATATTTAAAAGCTGTAATTAAAGGAAGAGTTAGGAAATTAGTTTACGGTATTACAATTACAATAGTTATTCAGGCGCGACTCTAATTTATGGATGACCTTTAAACGAATCTTAAGTGACATTGAGAAATATTAGTCAGTTAGCACACAGTCAGTGTAGAGTAAAAATATATTATACAAAATCAAAGAAATAAAATGGATACAGCTGTTATACGTGGTTCAAAAACTTGTCAAGGTTAGAAAGAGGTTCAGAGGTTCTGAAATCGTAATGCATACAGTGGAGGAAATCATCCATACGGCTACAGAATAGTCGACTTCTGGAGGCGTGATAAAGTCTCAAAAACTCTTTCAGCCTCGACCACACGGCTTCAATATTGTTTGTGTGCACACCGGTTGTTGAGTACACAAAATGCCACCTGTGGATAACTACACGATGCACATAGCCAAGCCTATGTAGGGGTCTGTACGCTCTCCAATCATCCGTATATATTGTAGTAGCTGGCCACAGCCAGTGTTATTGGTCCTTTTATTATCCAGTTCGCGATAATTTTCATAATTTACCTTAGTTAGGAATTATATATGAGGTTTTCATCACGAAATCACATCAGCTATAATGCCAGAAATTTATTCGGTCAAATGGATGAAAGGCTTTCGCGTTAAAATCCGAGATCTGTTATGCTATATATGATTGATTCGTCCACATATTATAGTCTCGTTGTTTATTTGTTATAGCCGCTCAATTATCACGTTTTGGTACAAGATGCCCTGTGAAACGATCGTACGTTAGCCTTAAGCACTGAAGTTGGCGCCGTAACCTTGAAATCTCTACAACGCTTTTGATTGACTCGTCCATAAATTAGAGTATCACCGTTATTCAAACGTTAGAAATATTATAAAGGAGAATTTCACTGATTAAATTTGAAGAGACTATTTGATAAGCACAGACAAGCCGATTCCAAGGGGTGGATGCACTCTTAACAAGGAAAAGAGAACTCCTCCCACAAACCCCGCCGACGCCTCCGAAGTCGGTCGCGCTGGGTGCACGCCGAACCGACACACACCATGCTCCGAGGACGGGGTCGGGAATAATAAACCCTATTCCCTTTCGCTACAGAGGGCTGCAATGCAACAGTACTTTGCAGATTACTGAACAAGGCCCACGAACGGACAATGTCAAGCACCCCGTCTGTGTTCCGATTTATCTGATCACTTAGGATCGCCTGACCCATGGTCAACTGCTGTTCCCATGGAACCCTTCTCCACCTCGGCCTTCAAGGTTCTCACTTAAATATTTGCTACTACCACCAGACCTAATGGGCCTATCCGAACACATGGTTCAGTTCAGACACCAAAAGGAATACGTAAGCTAGTTCAGCCACGTGTCGGATACAGAATTTACCGTTGCAAATTTGGACGGAAGTCTGACTTAGAGGCGTTCAGTCTTAACCCCTCAGATAGTAGATTCGCACCATTGGCCTTTCGATCAGGCACATATACCAATTATCCGAACCTGCTGTTCCTCTCGTACTAAACAGGATTACCATAGCAACGGCCAGATTGTACTTCACTGATGTAGTGAATCAATTTCTCACTACATAAAACTATTTATTTTTATTCTTTAGTTGAAATATTATTGATAATTATTATGACAAAAGGATTTTTGTGGATATTATAGTATTTTACTAGTTGAGTTCATGAGGCGCTTGAAACTAGACAACCATGGATAATCTGGAAGCATTGGACGGCCTTTTTGTCCTAGTGTGCGACTACACAGCAGTGCGCATCCACGAACCCAGAACATATCGGTCTCTCGTGTGACATCTAGACCACTGAGCCGGTCAGCACCCAACAGTGTTAATGTCTAACTTCAACTAATCAGCGAAATTGAGCTACATTCCACCACTGTCTTCAGTGAGTTACTATCTCATAATAAATAAAGTATACCATGTATTACAATTAATAATTTGCCTAAATTTACTCGAATGTAACAGTCATAATTGCACTGATAGAGATCGTGCATATTCTGACGACAGATGTTAAGAAACTGTTGAAACCATAATGCTAACCAGTCCTACTGGATCCACTTCTTTTACTGCTTGCAAAGCCTTTTCTTTATATTTGGATTGCTGTTCAATGTAAAAGTAAAACCAAAACAAAAAAAACAACTGTAAGTATTAACTGTTTATACTTATAAGCAAAGATGGATAGTGGCTATCAGTGGAATTCAGGAAAAACGTTTAGTCCTATTTAAGAGTCGTCAGCTGGATGTGCCTGCATCTCATAATCGATGTTCACTCTGAGACTCGAACTTAGTAACGTTTGTGTCAAACGCTATTGCTACTGAGTCCTGATAGCCACTTGCTTGTACAATGGTATGAAGATTAATTCACTTGATATTGTTTTATTTGAATCTTCCCATTGATGTTTTACATAACTATGTATAAATATAACATAAAAATCAATAATTGTGTCACTATACATTTTGCACTTGTAATCTGTAATATTTTACAGAGTTCATTGATTAAATTTAATACAATAATAATATGAATACTTTTTTAAAAAAAATAATAAAATATCCTTTGTACACTCCCTACATTTACAGTGTGAATTGTATAACATTGATTATGAAAATTCCATCTATTAAAACAAAACAAAAAAAACAAACAAACGACATACTAGATGGTGTAATAAGTAGTATAGAACTTGGTCATTATGAATAACAGAAGATATAACTATCAAGTTGTGAAGAGAACAATTTATACATTAAAAGAAAACAATTTAGTCTAATTTATTTCATTCACTTAGTATTGTTTACTTGAATCTTCACAGTGATGTTTAACACTGAATTTGATCAGTCTCTTAATGGCATATGTACATATTGTGTGTACTATTTTGATATTGCCTTAATTCACAAACATTCTAAGCAAAGATGGATAGTGGCTAGCAGTGGAATCCAGGACGCGCGTTTCGTCCTATTTAGGGCTTGTCATCCGGATGTATCTGCATTTGAGTTGATGTTATATATATGAGTATACTCTTTATTTCAATTAGTTAGAGGATTAAAATACAAGCTTGGATTTCATATAGTATAATTTACGAATGAAAGGGAATAAATCTGTGAATCCTGAGGATAATATTTTGACTTCGTATTTGTATACAAAATTCAATGTAAATTACTGTATGGTCTTGATTTTAATGACTTTCATAAATCTAGAAGTGTATATATGGTCAAATTTTGAGATAAACAATCGTATACTTGACTTTATATATTCCATATTTATTCGCTCACACGATAGTCTAGATGGTTAAAGCATTTCCTAGTCCGTCTGAAAATAATAAATAATCACCACGACTGGTTATAAAAATCCAAATCATATATTTATAACATTGTAGTTTAAAGAGTTGCTGGACGCTGCTAGACAAACACGTCTTACGTTTGACTCATTATTAGGTCTTAGCTAACAGTTATAAAGGTTCTGAAAACTAGAGATAAATTCTCTATGATATTAAGTTAGTTGACTGATCAGTTTGTGAAAATCTGGAAAATTTACTGATTGAAAGTCTAAGAAAGAAGTAACTACATACGACATGAAAATATTTGTACACTAGTCAGTGTTCATTAGATTACAGATTCATTTGTTAAAGTTTGCGCATTGTAATATTTTTAGTTGATATTAACCAGTTACTTAAATCACTTTTAAGTAGTTACCTTAAACTCTAAGATAGAAATCAGTTTTACGTGAATGAATCGGAGTGAACTGTCAAAGGTGCACGTAATATTGATATTAACAATTTTTCTTAGGTAGATTTGATGTAACGAGATCTTAGTTAGAGATGTAGTAGATAATGCAAATTTTATCAACATGATTTTAGAAATCGAATTTTAATGATTGATGACACACGTTAGAGATCAGTGATTTTGATTGGATTACATATAAATGAGTCAATATGCCAGTTTTAAATAAATAAATTTACCCTTAATTTTGGATTCGGAATATAAAATAAAGGTTCGACGAATCATCCTATGCTTGACAAAATATGAGAATGGATCTATAAATAAGCAAAAGTAGTTCAATAAAAAAATCATCATTTTAAACATGCTAGCAATTCCTGATTTTGTAAGCTTAAGCCCTCTATCAAAAGTAGAGAACCTTTCGCTTTGAATCACAATTATGAACGCCATTTTGATTTGTAAAACATATATTGAGATATCAAAAGTGCTTTAACTACCTTTTCGGAACTTGTACTGAAACTCTGCAGGCAAATACTACATACCAAGCAAACATTTTTTCGTACTTTAATACATTGAAACACAAAGACGTAAATACAAAATAAGCTTATTCTAAAATCAATCTTGAATTTACTTGTAATCTAAGAGTTACAATTTAGTATATGATTGATTAGTTTCGATTAATTTCATCTTATTCATTTTCTTGTCAGCACTCGTCATGTATAATATCTCGTGGTTTCCCTCCCTTATGTATTAAATATCACTTTTCATTTTTCAACGATTTCATTCATCTTGATGATTGTACACAACTAAGACGAGATCATACACTGAAATGAATATATTTCTTCCTTACTTTACGTTTTATACTACTTAGTAATTATAAAGTAGCTTCATTCAATTACTATGCATTAAAAGTCGTTTAGTGGCCCGTGGATCTGACTCCAAGAAGATCGTAATGAATGTTTGTTATCGCCTATCCTCGTATATAATCAGTAACGCATTTAAATAAGTCAGATAACGAGAATGGACTTTTGAATACATATATTTTGTATATGAAGCGGATGGAACAGAGTGAAGCGAAACGACGCGCAGTGAAGATGGCAGGTAAACCAACTCCCATTTAACCAAGCGTTAATCAGTATTTATAGTTACACAAAAGTTATAGACATGCGATGAGTAATGGGATAAGAAATGTACGCACACTTATGCGCTCATATAAAAACAGTTAAGATTTATAAGAGAATAAATAACAAGGTCAGAATGTGACTCAAGTAAAATGAATAGAATGGGCTGTCCGAAAGCTACAATAAGGTATATAGGCTTAACATAATAACCGACACTACAGATTTGTCTAACAAGGTGATTTGGAACCTTCATCGTTAACAATCACTTGTATTAGATCCTCTGACACGATCTGTTTTATTTTTTTTCTTTTTGTTTAAAGATTTCCTCTTTACAACTAGACTCCTATTAAGTTTACATGAACATACAAAGTCTTATTTAAACAGTGTACGATAAGTGAAATAATTTCAATCAACGTATTCAGTTATTATTATGATCATTATTATTCTTACTACTCATGACTTTGAAATTTTAAACCGTTAACGTGAAAACTTATCAAAACTCATAATTCACTAGGTAAGCTTAAAAACTATTATTTACGTCAACCAGATCATAGTAGTTCCATTTTCTTCATTAAATATAAATTCTCCAACTTAGAATTTACATATATACTTTAGACTATACTGAGACAATGTAAGAATCTAGTCTTCAAGTTATGATAAATTAGGCTTTTTAATTTCTAAACTATATTGTGTTCATGATTTCATTTAATTATATTCTTATTTAAAACAAAAAGGTGTAACGGGGTTAAAACTACCATGTATGTTGTTAATACATTTTGTTTCTTTTCTATTACAAGACAACCAAGAATAAATGCTTTATAAGAAGAAGAAGAAGGAGAGCAAACCTTGAATGCACTAAACTAAACAGGATGACTCATAAGACCGTTTTGTAAACTAGCTCTCTTTTCTGTACATAACTCACGAGTTTTAATTTTCAAATAAACAACCGGTGCTCTCCATTCCGTTTTCTCTCTGTGGTGTGATGTGCTCAGTTAACATTGTGTGTATTGTGGCTTTAGGTTTTCCCGCTTTCTAGTGACTGCTGATTTCACGAGTTACAAAGGTACAAAATCTTTATTAATCAACATGATCTTTATACAACAGTCACATTGTTATGATTTTCACAGTAATGTTTTTTTTATAAAAATCTTTACTATTTATTTCTTTAATCAATTAAAAAACAATCGATAGAAAAATAAACAATGAAGAATAGAGAAAGTTTAATTTGATTATCGTATACAATTAAGTTTATTTCCAAAATTAAGTTAATATATATATACAGAGAGAGGGGGGGGAGATCGGGAGGGGGTAGGAAAAGACAGAGCATGATTGAGATTCGAACTTAATAATTAACCACCCCTTTTAGTATTATTGAATAATAGAGTATAATTGATATTTTATATCATAAAAAACAATTTATTATTGTAACTATCGAGTTTATTGATTTTTAAAAATCGATTTAACACCTTTATATTCAGTTGTCAACGCATAATTTTGAAAAAAAAATGTTTCATAAAATCTTTAGTTTCCAATTAAATTCATTCATTTATTTAGTATGTATTGTTTTAATGTTTGATGTATTCAATGTACAAGGTAAGTTGATAACTTGAATTTTGTACATTTAGTTATATTACTGTTCTCTTTTTCTAAATGATGAGAAGTATGAATTTACAATACTTATGCTGCCATTATAAGAGTTATGTGAATTTCTAAGATTTTTGATTAGGAAAAATGAAAGAATTCAGCGAAGAAAATTTTTCCTTTCGACGAAATCATTTATGGTTCTATGGAAAATATATGTTTATAGACAATGAGTTCAAATTCTTATCATTTCTTTGCTCTAATTCCTTTTAGCGGCATGTTTCGGGTTCTTTTGATCTGATTATTATTGATTTTTTTAAACTTATTGTTTTGTAATTTTTTAACTCTAATCAGTTATTATTATTGGATACTGGCTTAGTGGTCTAGAGATTAAGCTCTTGCGCGAGAGATCGATAGGTCTTGGATTCGAATCTCGTGAGGCGGGATCGTGAATGTGCACTGCTGAAGAGTTCTATACTAGGACGAGACAGCTGTTCAGTCAATCTAGGTTTTCTATGGTGGTCTAACTTCAATTGACTCATGCATGAATTATTGAAATTATTATTATTACCGTTAAACATATTTGCTTATTATTCAGTTTATATTATTATGACCTTTATATTTGTCGGTTTTCTTCATATCTGAAGGGGTTTTGTAGAGATTTTTAGTAATTTTACAGGTGAATTCATGAGTCATAGAAAACGTGGAATCACTGGACGGCCGTATTGTCCTAGTATTGGACTCATCAGCAGTGCTCATCTTCATATCTGACCCATAAATTCTTTTATTCCTTATCACTTGATTAGTACATAACCACCTTTGATAACAAGTTTCGAATCAATTTATGATGCAAACATTTCTATTCTACTATAGGCATATATTTTCCATATAACTATAAATATGAATGTACAGTTTAAGTAAGTGATTTCGTCGAAAATGAAATTTTTTCGCTGAATTCTCTTATTCTTATTTAATGACACTATGGGTTATGTCAATTATACACTCATTTGTTTATAGAATCAGGTTTATTTATTTCTTATTTCTATTTTTTCGTAAGTAAATGAGAACATCTATCTTATCTTGATATTTTGAAATAATGATAACGAACACTGTAGCATAAAATGAATTCTTATTGTCACATACTCGACCTGTCGACCCAATAACATACAGGAGAGAACTTGTCTCAATCTAGGCTATGATCTTGAAACGATAAGCTTACTAGCTTAACGTTGAAGCTAGGAATGAGTGAGTCCGAATTAAGACTACAAGTCCACGGCAGAGAGACGAAAACTATCATCTGATTAATTGATAAGCGATAGAGAGTAAGACGAGTCAACTAGAACGAATAGCAGTTATCTCACAGGGTTTTTTTGTATCAAAACTATTTTCATCTCATTCTGTCCAATGAAAAGATTAGTTTTAAAATGGTGATTACGTAAATTTCTGATATATTTGATTACACTTTCCTAGAGAATTAAAATTACTTGTAGAAATATTAAAATCCAATGAAGACTAAAGGCTTATTTATTGTTTGTTAAACTTGTTTAGAAACAAAAATGCATGTATAACTACTTAAAACAGAGCAGACATACAATTCTTATTTCTTAACTTTGTCACTAAACACTTTCATGCTTGGACTGTTATAACTAGCAGGATTTTGATGTATAATGATTTATATCGTAAAATGGTTTTTGTGGATATTTCAGTAATTTAACAGTTGAGATCATGAGTCAGTTGAAGCTAGACTACCTTGGGAAACCTGGAAGCACTGGACGGCTGTTGCGTCGTTCAATTTCGTAAAATAGTTGAAGTTAGACATTAACACCATTGGATGCCAACCGGCTCATTGGTCTAGAGGTTAAGCGTTCGTGTGCAAGACCAACAGGTCCTGGATTCGAATCCCGCAAACCAGGACCGCTGAGGAATCGCATAATAGGACGAAACGGCCGTCCAATGCTTTCAGGTTTTTCATGATGGTTTTACTTCAATTGACTCATGATCTGAATTATAAATATTTGTTAGAGTACAACATTAAGTTCTATAGAAAAATTTATTACAATAATGGATCAGATGAAGAATGTATATTATAGAAATAAACCAGAAGGCAATATGAAAATCGTTTAGATAAAGATTTATGCAACTTAAAGTCTATAGAGTTTATGTAAAATGTTGAGAATTCCATATCTCTTCAAATTTCAGGTAAGACTATGTTTGTAACAAATGTGTTACACTATTATTAGTTCGTTGAATAGTGTATCTTTGAAAATGACTGAATGATTCAAAATCCAAGACGTTTTTTATGAAAATCCTATCAGGATATTAATGTTTGACTAGTTGGAATAATGTAGACGTTTTCATGATATGTATACAATGGAATATCATATCATTTCTCAACAAAGGATTTCATTATCTCTTCTTTATTTCTCTAGGTATAAGATTACTGAAGACACGTGCAGACGACAGTGAGTTTGTCATTCTATATGGTTCATTAAATACCTTATGAAATAATTTGAAAGTTATAGCAAATGTTATAATTCACTTGAGAATCATTATGTTTATATAATGATGAAGTCAATCTCATACTATATACATAGAAGTCACAAAACTCTTTGTTAATGAAAGACAACGTCTACACTACTGCTTTCATGAAGTGTTCTTTAAACTGTTCATATAATTACAGGAATGAAATTGAAATCAAATTTATTTTGTATATTTAGTGATGTAGATAGGTAAAAGTATATAAAATGCTACACTAGTCTACTAATGTTCCATGGTAAAAGATTGTTTAACATCTAAGATTAGCCAAAAAAATTGTATTAATTGAAGTTAGATATAGTATACAGTATGCATAGCAAAATCTTGAAGTCTATGTGTTATGTCCTTAGCTTATACGATTATCGCGAAATACGATTGACAATTTATATACACTGACTTATATGACCAATCTAACAACGCATACATCAGTACAGTTAGTCTAGAGTTCTTGTTAGTTCTTTTTCACTTAGCTCTGCCTGGCGGAGATGATTTGGAAGATGTAAAAACCTTCACATATCTGGGCAGCATCATCGATGATGCGGATTTGAATGTGTGGATCGACAAGGCAAGAGTAGCATATCTATAATTGAAGAACATTTGAAACTTAAAACAACTGTCAACCAACACCAAGGTCAGGATTTTCAATACAAATGTCAAGACAGTTCTACCGTATGGGGCAGAAACCTGGAAAACTACGAAAGCCATCATCCAGAAGATACAAGTGTTTATTAACAGTTGTCTACGCAAAATACTTCGGATCCGTTTGCCGGACACTATTAGCAACAACCTACTGTGGGAGAGATAAAACCCAGATCCCAGCGGATGAAGAAATCAGAAAGAAGCGCTGGAAGTGGATAGGACACAAAGTGAGGAAAGCACACAACTGCGTCACAAGACAAGCCCTCACACAGAATCCTCAAGGCCGAAGGAGGAGAGGAAGACCAAAAAAACATATTACGCCGGGAAGTGGAGATAGACATGAGAAAAATGAACAAGAATAGGATGGGATTAGAAAATAAGACCCAGTAGAGAATGGGTTGGAGAATGCTGGTCGGCGGCCTATGCTCCATTAGGAGTAACAGGCGTAAGGAAGTAATTAAGCAAGTAACTATAAGTTATGGACGAACCAATAACGTATAAAATAACAGGTCTCAGATTTTTGGCGCGAAATTCACTCACTCATAAGGATAAATAGAGTTTTGGCATAATTCCTCATAATTTGAATTTCTCAAATTGGTTTATGACATTCATTTGGTTCTACTTATTAGGTGGACACTCTCAAAGTTAGTTTGGCGTCGCTCGAAGGTTGTCCATAAATTATAGTCTCACCACAGTTATTACTAAGTAGTTTAAACATACTTAATTGATAAATATTTCTGTTGGTCAATATACTTAGTAAACAATCCTAGTATGAAAAAAACATTTACTGTTTCTTTTTAATTTTATTCCACTTTTTATTGAGATTAATGTTAAACGAAAGTCCTGGGTTCGAATACTGTGATCATGATCGTGCAAGCTCACTTCTGATGAGTCTTATACTAGAACGAAGCGGCTATCTAATACTTACAGGTTTTCAATGGCGGTCTAAGGTCAATTGATTCATGATCTCAATCAGAAAAATTAACAACTTTCACAACCTCATATTGATATATCATTTTTTATTGATTTCAGATAATGAAATTGAAGATGATTTTGAAAAAATTATTGATATGATAGATAAGGAAAGATTTGGTCCTTCAGATGAAACAGGTATTTAAAGTTATAATAACTCATGTGTAAGTACTAATATTATTCAACACTAATTGGCATTTAATTTATGGGGCTATATTATAGTTTATGCTACTAATGTCGACAGATATAAGTAGTATGTATCATCAATCGAAAGTGAAATGTCTCAAGTCAAAAGGTTAAGAAGATTGAAGAAAAGAGAACAAGAATAAAGAATAATTAGTATGGAAATGAAAGAACAATTAAGTCTGAGTCGTTTGATTGACATTTTGCAAATAAATTATTTACTAAATAGTTCATAGATTTTACTAAGACATTCTGTAATTGATGTATTCAAATACATTCGATTGTCCTTACATGTGTTCTCGTTCACTACGTTATAACTATGACACATTAAATGAAAATCGGTTGCCTGTTCAAACATTTAAGTCACTTATACTCTAATTGGTTATTTTAATAAAATAATTATGAATCTCGATTGTATTCACTTTCTCAATACCGCGAAAGGCATGAAATGTGTTACTACGTTAAAAAAATTGAAAGGTTCAAATCTGAACATTACATTTACTGATATAGTTTCGACTAGATTTCCCCCTTTTAAAAAATAAGGAAAATTTCATGCATTGAATAATTGATGAAGGAAAAATAGTTATGTAACTGAACTCATTGTCAACGCTGGCCAATGAAGATGAGTGGAAGATATTAATTATTAAAAAAAACACATTATGAATCACAGTCCAAAATGAGAAATCTATTATGATCCTGAACAATCAATGTCAACAATTCCTCCATGTAACGTAATTTGTCATGATGAATAAAGTTACTTTATAATCCTTGTTTAGAAACGTGAAGTTATTTTAATTGGGATCATGAATCGATCAATGTTGGGACACTATTGAAAATCTGGAAGCACCGGACGGTTGTTTCATCCTATTATGGAACTCCTCAGCAGTGTGCATCCACGATCCCGCATGTAGGAATGGAAACCAAGTTATTTGATCTCGCGCCAGGATGTTTAACCTTCCGACTAATGAGTCTGTATCAAACAGTGTTATTGTTTAACTTCAATCAATCCAGGATATTACACAACCATTTCAACAATCTCCACAAACCTATACGGATGAAATAATTTATCAGTTTTAAGTTTGGGTGAATTTAGTTTTACAAAATCAGCTTTTCACATTTTATAGGTCGACAGTTGACAGAAAGAGACAATGCCTAAAAGACCGCAAAAATTGTTGACCCCTATTGTTTGGACTTAATTTATAAATGCATAACTAGTTTTAAGGAGAAAAAAGAATAATTTTCTTGTTTATTTCAGATCCTCCAGGTTGGGAATCGGATACCACATATGAAAAAGAAATACGTGTTGGTAAAGTGAAGAAAGGAGGAAAATTGGGACCAGGTAAATTTTAAATTGTTCTATTATCAAAATGAATCTATTTGTAAACATATCTCATTTAGCTGACATCATAATTATTTCAATTATTGATATAATACAGGAGATAATTATACTGTCTACATACATCTAAAGTAACTGAATGAAAACTTGTTGAAATTAGTACATTTCAAACAGGTAATCCAATAATGATTAGTCAAGTGCTGTGTTTCATATTCAATGACGTTTTAAGTGTCAGCATTTCACCTAAAAGTTGGGAAAAACATTTACAAGTTAGATTAAAGTCCTTCAAACACTAATTCTTTAAATACAATGATGAATTTCACTCCTTCAACAATAGAATACAGAAGTGTCTGAAGACAAAATGAACTACAAGCCAAAATCAGTAGATAGATAGTCTCTTCAACTCGTTAGTATGTTATCCTTTACCTCAATTGTAACACACATAAGAATATGAATGCGTATAGTTGATGGTCTTATATGTTCTTTCTTTATACAATACAACTATATTATGAACTGACAATCTCGTCGCTCTTTTATCTTAGTCATAAAGTCGGTATATAATGGTGATGACAGTCGTGAAAAAAATCTCCAGTTAGCACGACATTATCTCCTAAACGCGCTTTGCTGACAATGACTATGCTTTTCTGGATCTGGGCTACATTCCGTCAGGATTTAGGTAATGTTTACTTAAAGAAACTTTGTCCGGATCCCCTTGTAGGGCTACTGCCAGTCCAAAGCCCAGATAAAGGAGGAGGGTTAAGCATGCGGTTAACAGCCTTATCCTGTAGAAAACTAACTCGCTAAAAAACGTTTGACCAGAAAATAAAGATTTCAAACCATTTTTACTCTGCCATGGCAGTTAGAAGGTCTTCACCAATCAAAAAGATTATCACCGCAGTTTAATATAACTTTGGTGAAACCTGATCTGGAACAAAAGAAAAAAACTTTTAATTAAATCTTTCTCCACTTTATCGATGGATGTCATACCATAGTCAGCAAGGCTGGGATTTTCAAATAACCAAGATAGAAAACAAATTTAAACAAAAAAGATGGATATTGAAACTGTTCGAACATACAAATAGATTCATCTGTTGTCATGTTTTCAATAAGATGTGAAATTAAATGCCTTACGTTCAGCTAGGAGAAATAGTTTCCGAAATTTTATAATAACCAGATATCAACAATCCAATGACTTGGGACTTATTAAACAGGACCAAATGTATACAACAAATACGAGTTGCTGACTATGAGTAGCATTAATATAAAGTGAAATAAATGGTCAAAATTCAGTAATATAACACAGTACATATGACGTTCATAATATGTGAGGATCGGTATGCAAGTTAAGTGGATTATAATCTTTATCCTCCTCACTAATATTCATCACTTTTTCCCTGGGGGCTGTGAAGATGTCCTAGTACCTAGTCCGAAGTAGGTGATTTTCCTAGAAGAAACACTTTTCCAACTTTTAATCTGCAGATCTAATACATTAAGCATCTGAGTAACATGCGACAATGCCATCGCATGAAAGTTAATCGCCTGAATATGTACATACGCATCGTTGATTCTTAATCAAGGTTTTCAATTTCTCTTAAACAAATCTTCCGTGATAGTCGATCATATTTAGCCATTGTAAATCAAATGAATAATATCATAAGTAAATGTAGTCACTGAGCACTCTGACGAATATTAAAGAAGAGACTATAATTTATAGACGAGCCAATCAGAAGCGTTTGAGATATTTTAAGTCATGACGCCAATTTCAGTACTTGATACTCACGCACGATCGGTTTACAGCGGATTTTAGAGAGAACGTGATAAGTGAGTGGCTACAACAAATGGGAATACTAAGAAGTTCCATTATTTATGACTATGGTAATCAAATGACTGCTGTACCGTGTGCAGACTACCGTGATGAGATTGTCTTTCTATGTTGTTTGTGTCAAAGGAAGAAGCCTGCTAGAACAGGAACTTTTTTTTGCTCGATCCCGATTGGAGCTAAAACAAAACCACGATAAGTGTTGCGAATCAGATAATAAAAGCATCAGTAACACTGGCTGCAACATTTGCAGAAGTTACTGAAGCTTCAGCCGTTCAGTGATATGAGTATTGTAGAGATAAATGTGCAATAAAAATGATAGGCTTACACGAGTCGTTTGAAGAATCGTTGAAATAGACGAATCAGTAGTCAGGAGGCAAACATTTAATAGAGGACGTAGTATTAAAAAGGACTGGGTAAGTAGCACTTCCATAAATATACCTCGTAGGTCCTCGGAATTTAGGACACGTTACCTCAAAATAGAAACTTCCAACGGGTCAGAAACCGACAGGCAATGACAATAATACCAATTATATAAGAATATGTGCAGCCAGGCACTACAATATATACAGATGATTGGAGAGCGTACAAATGCCTGCATAGGCTTGGTTATATGCATCATGTCGTTATCAACAGGAGCCATTTTGTCAATGCTACAGCCGGAGCACACACTAACAATATTGAAGTTATATGGTCGAGGCTGAAAACATTTTTACAACCATATCATGACTCAAGAGAGCGACTGATAAGGAGCCATATGGATCAGTTCCTCTACCGTATGCATTGCGATTTCAGAACCTCCGAACCTCTTTCTAACCTTGACATGTTACTGAAAAACGTAAAATAAGCGTATCCACTTTAATTCTTTGGTTTTGTATAATATATTTTTACTTCATACTAATTGTTTTCTGATTGGCTAATATTTCTCAAGGTTACTTAAGATTCGTTCAAAAGTTGTCCATAAATCATAGTCACGCCAACTTCATTGTGAACTGATGAAAGAACTATTTACCTCATTAGCTGATAGTTCATGAGCTGTCTTTATTTCAGTAACCGTTTTTATAAATCTAAACTTCTCAATTAGTTCAAAACATTGTGATTTCAATGAATTTCATTTGGTTTCATTATCATGAAATATGAACGTACTGTTTCTTTATTTCAAAATAGGTAAACGTATAGAGCGTGTAATATTAAAGAAGAAGAAACCTTTCGGCAAAAATGATTCTAGACCAGGTGATATTTTTATATTGTTCGTAGTGTTTTTTAACCTATGACTGAAGCACTAAATATTTATGTATTGGAATAGCTTGCTTATAAAACGATGACAGATAGTATTTTAGATAGGATTTATTTAGGAGATAAAACCTCAATTGATTGGTTACTGGATGGTGATAAATGTCATGCATGTTGGGTCCTTCTTAGTGCAGATCGAATCCTTTGGACGAAGTTGCGATGTGGCCACTCGTCTAGGTGAGTCGACATTGAGTGTATTATGTTAAGATAAGATGGTGATTGAAGGTAGTTAACAGGAAACCCTAGACCAAGGTTTTGTGCTACTTGGCATTCGTCAGCAGGGTATACCTGTAATCTTGAAGGAACTGATGTTCCCTGACGGATTTGATCACGTGTCACCCAGCTTCACAATCAGAGACTTTACCACTAGGCTAACCTCAGTGTTAGCAAAACGAAAATTTGGGAATAAATAAATACAGAATGTCTCTTTAAAATCTGAGAACCATGCAGCAAATACTTCATTTATGAAATGTCCATCAACCATCTCAGATTTTATTGTTCCTTCCTTTCCATAACTATCACTCTCTGTTCCCGTTCTCACTATTTGATCATTTCAACTTTCTACTATTAAGATTTCCACTTATGATTGATGTTACATACTACTTATATCTGTCTACATAAGCAGCACACACCACAATACTTCCTGAGAAAGTAGTAAACTGTTTATATTTGAAATTTCATACAGTTAACGCTTCAACAAACCTGAGTTTACAATCAATATCATTTTTTATTTACTGAATCTAAATCATTCCTATTGTAGTGAACAAATACTCAGGTGGGGATAACCAATTTATCGTTAAAAGTAGAATCACACAGTGATTTAGTAAAATGCGAAAATCACATCTCCAATACGTCGTTTGCACATATTTTTTTAATCGTGTCTTATGATCTTCATTGTCCCTTCATTCATGCCGTTATCTGGACTGCTTTCAATTTCGTTTTCTCTTTTATCTCCATTTTAATCTTCTCAACCTTCTTCTCGTAGACATTCCACTTCCTACTAGTATTGCATGCTACTTATATATGAAAACATAAGTAGCATACATTACACTACTACTTGTATATAATTCTCATATTCTTCATTAATATACAATAATTATAGAATTTGTAACTGTAGTGCCTAATGATGATGCTTGTGTAAGCAACGGTTTTATATGATCATTTTGTATTTTCTCCTGTTAATAGACTGGGAATAGATTTGCAGTTCGAAAGCATTTAGTTATACATTCAAATAACTTTGTTTTAAAGTCATAAACATTTCTCTTCTCATGTACATAAGCTCGCATACATATGTTTATATAGTAAACACAGTAAGATATGATAGAATTCGTTAAAAACTGAGTCTACGTTATAGCAACTATTATACAATCAATTTCGATTGTGGTTAATTTTGGTTAATCCCGTTTATTAACTTAATAGACAATGTTATTTGAACAGTAACAATTCGCATATTTCTTTGTACCGTTATGATCACTAGAGCACATAACAGACTAGATAAAATGTTGATTGTTTAAATATCACTCGATGATTCATCCTCCTTTTCATGTATGTATGTACTCAAATCCTATTATTATTATCCTTGCTGTGCCTTGCTGCGCCCTTATTCTAATTGACTATAAATTTGCCTATGTAATTGTTTGCACATACTTATTTGCCTTTCCGACTTGAATTCGCTAATTTGCTAATAGCTTTGTGATTTGCACTATCGGCTTATAAACTGTAGTTGCTGTTTCTCATTGCCTTCTGATTTAAGACACCGTCGAGATTTATATTATAACTATTATCGAAGTGATCGATTAAGAAAGCAAAGCCACTACAATGTAAAATATACACTGTCTTTTTAGTAACAATAATTTAGATACTATTAAGCACCTGCTCAAGTTGGCTGTGATAATTTTCACTTGAAATACGATGAATAACTGTTTTTTTTAACCATATGTACATTAGGTTTCTCAGATTGGGAATATACAGAGGAAGATGAAAGAGAACTATTCGTCAAGGAATAAACAACTATAAGAGATTCCATGTAAGTATTGTGAAAATATAATATAAAGTCATTGAACTAAAAAATCAATTTTTTTTACCAACCAGGTCTTATTATTATATTCTACGATGTATTGTGTTGAATTGATGATTTTTTGACAAGACTATAATTTATGGACTAAGCAGTCGCATATAAGATAACATGGTCTCGGATTTTTGGCGCGAATTTCACTCATCCATTGGGTCAAATTGCGTTTTAACATTATAGCTGATGTCATTTCGTGATGAAAACCTTACGTCTGAATTATGTATCCAAAAGGAGATGGTTATTATTGTTTCCTTGCCATGGTGACAAATATTCCTTTGTTGCATCTTAAATTTTTTTCTTTTACTTCATAGTCTCTCTTGCATTCATTACATTATTGATTTTTTATTTCAACTATGTTTCAAATTAATCTTATCTTATTAACCGAACATTACTCATTTTATTCCTATCAATGTTTACTTATTCCTAGCTGTTTTAACTGTTGTCTTAATGTTCTTTTACACAAAGTATATTTTTAAAATATTCAGTCTATTCAACTTATTTACACCCTCGCTATACTATACTAATATGTCTTCAATATAACTTCGAACCAAATCCTTTCATATAAGTCATTTCAACTCATTATGTAATAATGATTTTAAATATCACAGGTTGTAAGCAACTGATGAGAACCAAACAAAGTAAAATGAATTCATACTATTCAGCTAGAATCTTTATACTTACTCTTTTTATAATGATAAACGGAACTATGTATATATGAGATATTCACATTATAATAAGTTTACAAACTATTATATACAACTAGAGCACTGAGCTGGCATTCAGTGGTGTTAATGTCTAAACTCAACCAATCCACGGAATTGGTCTAGCTTCAATTAACTCATGATTTCAATCAAAAACTTAAAAATCACCAAAACCCTTATACTGATAATTACCATGTGCTCACTAGTGACTAGCTTCGTGAGAAACTGTGACCAGTGGAGCTAATCCGTGTCGGGTAGAAACTTGTGTCTACCTTAGTACAATGGGAGATGGTCGCGCAATTTTGTGGATTGGTTGATGTTAGACATTAACACAACAGGATACCGGCTCAGTGGTCTAGTTGGTTAAGCGCCTCACGCGAGATTGATAGGCCCTGGGTTTGAATCTTGCGGGGTGCGTGATCGTGGTGCGCACGGCTGAGGAGCCTCATACTAGGATAAAATGGCCGTCCAATGCTTCCAGCTTTTCCATGGTGGTCTAGCTTCAATTGATTTACGATTTCAATTAAAAACTTAACAATCTCCACAATACCTAAACTGGTATTATATACAACACTGAAAACTAGTTAAACAGAATAGAATTGAATATGAAAATTGTACCATAAAATAAAGTGCTAGGTTTGAAGTTATCACTGTGACCGAGAGCAATACTCGGTGACCAAAAACCAGTAAGGTCGTTTCCCAAGTGTGTTCTGGGGATGTAATGTCCCCAACAATGAAATATTCACATTATGATAAGCATACAAACCATTATATGCAACACTAAAAACTAGTTAAACAAACTAGAATTGAATATGAAAAATGTACAATTAAAATAAAGTACTATGAAAATATGAAGTAACTTTATCGATTTGTTCTTTGTCTTTTTTGCAAAGTAACAATGCACAACTATATTTAAAATTAGAATGAAGACATTTGGAGAAAAACTGTATTCTGTCTTCTTCATAGAACAGCATATTCTATAGACATTTCATGTATAAATAGTAAATTCTTAGTTGAAATGAGATATAGATCATAAAAGAAGATATTGATAAATAAAACAGTAAAACTATTCAACAATAGTGATAATCATCCTTTTCTGTTGAAAAGAATGAACTGATTATTGTATTTCTTTTTTCTATATTCAAAACATAATTTATTCTATCCTAATATATAACGTAAAAGCTCCGTCTGAAGTTACTTGGAGCTATCGCCGATCTCAAGCCAGGATAAAAGGAGGAGGGTTAGGCATGCGGTTAGTGACCCTATCCCATAGAAAACTAACTCCTAACAAAAACCGCTAACCAGAAAAATTTATTCATATCATATAAACTCTACCCTGGGAGTTAGGTGTTTATTTAGAAGAGTTATGACGCTTCATGGTGAAAGCCGAGTTTCTTCGGAAGTCATGAGGCTAATGCCCCTTCTGATAGCCAGAGTAATCAATAATTTAAGTACATGAAATGCTTGCACAGTGTGAGAGACTGGGAGAGTCTTCCGAATTACGGCAGAAATGAAGAGATATTATGTAATAAAGTTATCTAATTGTTAACAGTTTTACAAAAATTCCCAATAAAATAGATTATAAAGTAATAATGAATTATCCAAATGAAACTGGTTAAGTGATCATTTGGAAATTGAATTATTTTACTTTAATGACAGCTGATGAGAATCAAACGAAGTACTATTCTGTTAGAAAATTCATTCTTGCTCATTTCAAAATGATAAATGAAACTATGTATATATCAGATAAAATTTGTCATCTTTGTTTTGTTTTGTTTTGTTTTAATGTTTTACAGAATGAAGAGAATACAAGATGAGAATCCTCTGCTATATTTAGTGAAACAGGATAACATTTAATGAATTGTTCGAATATAAATGATTTTAATTAACTTTATTAGTATATTTTTTCTTTATTATCCTAATGCATTTTCCCTTGAATGATTGAATTTACGGTAAAATGTAATCTTATTATTGTTATATAGTTTTTCTGTTAATAGTTTGATCTGGGCACGCAGACAGTATCACAGCTTACACACAAATCATTTGATTTGTGTGGAGCATATGTATTCAGTGCCCCTTTGTATCAATATGTATGTGTTTAATAATAAATAATAAAAAAAACAAATTTATAAACTTCTGACAGAGGTTTACTTAAGTATTTGTACAGGTTAGACTGGTAATCTCTATTATGAAAAGCCTCATTAAATGATTCAATAGTTCAACACATGACACCAATCATCAACTTAGAATTCTATAGGGTGCTATTTTGTATATAGGATCTTTCACATACCTGGGAAGCATTATCGATGAGCGAGGAGGTTCAGATGCAGACGTAAAGGCGAGGATTGGCAAAACAAGGTCTGCATTCCTTCAATTGAAGAACATATGAAACTCAAAACAACTTTCAACCAATATCAAAGTCAACATCTTCAAGGCAGTTCTACTGCACGGAGCTCAAATTTGGAGAACTACAACGACCACCATCAAGAAGGTACAAGTATTCATGAATAGCTGTCTACCCAAGATACTCAACATCAATTGACCGGATACAATCAGCAACAGCCTTCTCTAGGAAAGAACAAACTAGCTTCCAGCTGAACGAGAAATTAAAAAAAATACGATGGAAATGGATAGAACATACATCGCATAAATCATCAAATTTCATCACGAGACAAACCCTAACTTAAAATCCTGAAGGGAAGCGGAAAAGAGGAAGGACAAAGAACACATTACGTCGGGAAATAAAAGCGGATATGAAAAGGATGAATAACAACTGGAAGGAGCTGGAAAAGATTGCCCAGGACAGGGTTGGATGAAGAATGCATATATTAAAAAAACATATATTAAAAACTCTTGTTAAATATCTCAAGGTGTTTAATCGCACACGAGAATATCAGACTCCAAAATAATGATCTCATCAAGAAAGCAGTGCTATGATTACATAAAAATTTGCATAATAACGAATTTCGATTTCGATACCTATGCCGTTAAACTAAAACGTGTATGTAGAAGGGAAACACAATTCCTGAAATAATTACAATAAAATAATTTCGACAGTTGAGTTCATGAGTCAATTGAAACTAGACCATCATGGAAAACCTGGAAGTACTGGATTAGTTGAAGCTAGACATTAACACCCTTAAATGCGGGCTCAGTGGTCTGGTGGTTAGGTGCTTTCATCGAGACTGATAGGTCATGGGTTTGGATCCCACGAAGTGGGATCGTGGGTGCACACTCCTGAGGAGTCTCACAATAGGACGAAACGGTCATCCAGTGCTTCCAGGTTTTCCATGGTGGTCTAGCTTCATTCGACTCATGATCTCAACTAGTGAAATTATTATAATATCCACAAAAACCCTTCTGAAATCAAATAATTTACACGATAGAATAAATAGTATGAATAACAACAAGTAACTGCTTTAAAGTCAACGATCAAAAGGACAGCTGAGATCATGGTTCAAGTAAACACTTACACATATAAACATTCACTAAATGTACAAAAATACTGAAAATTAAAATTATTTACTGCATATTATCTAGTAGTAGTATAATATCACATATGAAAAAATTATCGATTAGGATCAAATGTAGGTCAGACGCGTAGATCGAATAAGCAACTAACGAAGAAATCGTTCAGTATTTCTGCAAAGAGAGTACTAAGCAATTTCATATCAGACATAATAAATTCTTTTTAAAAAGCTTTCTTATCTATAAACAAAAGCTTAGACAGCCCTATTTAATTCTATCTGCCTGAACTCACGAAAAAGACTAAACTTACTCAGCTGTCAAAAATGGCATATCATACTTCAATTTTCAAACTGACATCATATTATTTTATTATTTACTTTTACCAAGCATCAGGAACCTAATAAATTCAGTTAATTCTCTTGGTATTTAGATTATATCCGACTGCATACGCAAGTGTCTATCAGGACTCAGTAGCTAAGTGAACAACGCGATGGTATTTGAGGCGAACAGTGCTTGGTTCAAATCCTAGAATGAACATCAACTCTGAGATGCAGATAAATCTAGCCGACGGGTGTTGAATAGGACGAAACACACGTTCTGGATTCCTCAGCTAGCCACAATCCATTTTTACTCAATTAATTCTGTTAAGCTTGATCCAGAATACCAAAGCATTCCAACTGATTGTTCGGTACATTTTCAGTCTTGATAAAAAACATATATGCAGTTGTGGTATATATGTTTTGAATACTTCTTTCAAAGTGCCATAATTTAAACAACTGAAGAAGACTATCTAAATATAAAACTGCTGAGAAATAAAGATATACAATTTATTAGTATAGGGTTGTGGAGATTGTTGAGTTTTAATTAAAACCATGGATCAATCAATGTTAAACCATCATTGGAAACTTGGAAGCACTGGGTGGCTGCTTCAATTTAGGATGGGACTGCTCAGTAGTACGCTTTCATGATCCCGCACACGGGACCGATGAACGATTAACCTCTAGATCACTGAGTCGTCATTGAACGGTGTTAATGTCTAATTTTGACCACGACGACCATCTTCCATTGTCCAGCAATTTATTTTAACGGTCTTAGCTTAATTTTCAAAATATTTAGAACGATTTTTCTCAAATGATGACGCTGAATTAAACCGAGTTAGTTTGTTGGATTTTATCTTTTATCCAACAGACGTGCATTTTAATATATATTGCAGATGTAAACCAGATGGTTTAAAGTCAAATGTCTCACTTCTTACTATTTATTACTAACTTTACAGAAGCTTTATGCAAGTTCATAAATTTGAATCCATCAATCTCTAAGTTTTAATTTAATTTATTAGCTAAATTTGTTGGATGAACTTCTTATCGAATTCTGTGAATTAAAAAGGTTGGCGTTCAAAATGACCAGCATAATTTGACCATATTCAACTGTTATTTGTAGATACATTTTCGAAAATAGTTTTATATACATAATCTATTATTATTGTAGTTAGGGGTGGCCAAATCAAAACGTGGCGTCAGTGTTTGAAGTCACAAACTTTGAGTCTGAACCATGTTGGTAGATTCACACTACTTGGTTGGAATTCACGTGACTGTCGTAACCAATGGCTAGAGACTCTGGATGACATGGCTCAGAATCGACCACAGTGACGTCGATGTATACACTCTTTGTCTTCCTTTAAACTATGAGATTAAAAGTTATTTCATAACTTTCTTTCTACAAACTAATTCTTTCCTTCTGTACCATGTCCTTACATAAAATCTTTCATTTATATATAACACCATTGAGTTAAATGCATCCGTGAATCCAGTGTCCGTCTTGCTGTACTAATGGGGTATGGCAGCTTGGACCGATGCATGTATTTGTCTGGTCCTACGTTGTAACTGACTAACTGACTGAACGAGAACACAACTAGGGTCAATCGAATGTATTCGAACACACAAATTACAGAACATTTTAGTAAAATCTGAGAGTCATACAGTATATACTTCATTTGTAAAATTTCAAACAATTTTCTCAGATTTTATTGTACCCAAGTTTCCACACCAATCACTCTCTGTTCTCATTCTACTTTCATCGATCTTCTTAACCTTGTACCTCGAGACATTTCACTTTCGATTGATGATACATACTACTTATATCTGTCGACATCAGTAGCAAACACCACATTATGACTCGGTGAATTAGAAGATGAAAGTATTTTATTTTGACCTCATTAGTTGAACATTACTGCGTCATGTGAACATAGAACACAGTACCATTAATAACCTAGAGATATTCGTGTTTTCTTTTAGTTACCATATGAGTTTGATAATCAATAAAACATGTATACTACCTTTCATTTTTATTTATTTCCAACCGTTTAAACAAACCGTTTAACTATAAAACGCTAATACAGATTTCTTTTAAATGATAAATTTAATTTGAAAAATATTAAGAGGGAATATTGAAAATTTAAAACGTTATCTTTCGGTGATTTTCGTCACGTTAAAAACACTTGTGTACACCATAATGTTTCTTTTGTTTACCTTCTTGTGTATCTCTTCTAGTTCTTATAAAAAGCTGGGTCATCTAGTGTTTGTTCAGAAAGAAAAATAAAACAGATGAGCAAAGTATGACTGTTTTGAGTTACATAGATTAATTATATGGCATAAAAATTTAAATTATTGTATACATTATGTCTATGCCGCCTTACTGTATACGCAGGCTTGTATGTATTTAAGAGGACCGAACACTTTTAACTGTATGGCGTGATGATATTTTAATACTGAATAATTTACCTACACTCTTTCGTGAACGTACCTTCTATGATTGTATACGTATTTGCGAAAATTTCCCGCTTCTTAATCAAAACTCTAGTCGTTTAAAACTGACCTATCCATTTATATGATCTAATTAGAATAGTAAACATTGTTCCTTCCGTTTTCCTCCCCCCCTTGATCCTTGACTGCTGGTTGCATCACATAAGTTGTGTACTTGAAACAAATCTATCTAATTGCTATATTTCACCTTCTGAAGGTCAAATAATGTTTAGAGCTATCGTAGTAACAATTATCAGAGCTATTAGTAAACTAAGAATAGAATAAGCTCTCCAAAATTGAAGATAAGTTTGAATAATATGCATTACTTTTAGATTTTCCATGCTCAACTAGTTTACAAAAATTTTGCTTTTATTTACTCAAATAAATAATCAAAAGAATCTCCTGTAAAGTGACTATGGACTAGACACTTATTGAAACGAAAACAATAGTTTTAATATACCTATCATTTCCATGATACAGTTAAGAGTTTGTCTTTACAAAGAGAAAACATATCATAGTTGTAACACTGTTAGTAGTTATTATAATTTAATTATACAATAAGTTGAAAACGGTTTAAGAATTTATGGATTAATTAACCAACTCATCCTGACCCTTGTTGCTACCTTGACATGGCGGTCGGGCTTGTCTATCTTGATGAAACAACCGAGCTATACTGGCTGGAACAACCGTTCCTTAGGGTCCTACCATGTCAGACAGGTCGGTTGAAGAGCGGTAAGACTAAAAGCAAAAAACACCCAAGGTCCGAAAGCGAAGTCGTACTGCTGACTGTACAGAGATGTGACATCAGTAAGGTGTTTCTTTCAGACAACCAGTATGACAGCGATATTGCCTTCCTACAAGGAGGGGTGGGATTAGAAATGGTCAACCTTAAAAATGCATACCTCGCCTTAACCCACGGATATCCGTCTCCGGTGGTAAGGTCTCAATAAGTACGGAGCTAATACAAAAATTACTCATAAAAAGATAATGTGTGACCGACCTCAAGCAGTTGTCCTTTGGGCACTGCGGCCACGCACTCAGGTCCCTAAGACCACCTCTGATCCAATTTCCTTCTCAGGTGCCTTCAGAAGAACCCTTCCACGGTGTGGACAACCGGGAAGTGGTAACCGCCCTCATACCTCTAACAGCACTCAAGACAACTAAAACAAATCATTCAGCTTTTATTAAATAAATCTTGAGTACTTAAATTTAGAATTATTTACAAATGAGTTATAACAGTAGAGATGTTTTATATAAAAACGATTATTTCTATCAGAAGGGGTTTTGTAGGAATTGTAGGAATTTCACTAGTTGAAATCATGAGTCAATTGAAGCTAGACCATAGGAGAGGAGTCCCACAATAGAACGAAATGACCGTCCAGTGCTTCTAGGTTTTCCATGGCGGTCTAGTTTCTATTGACTTATGATCTTAACTATTGAGATTATTTCTATACTTTACCGAGCCATAAAACAAAGATTCAGTTCAAAACTACTTAGTTAAAATCATTCTTTTATAGTATTACCATAAAATAACAGTAGCACATATATATTTGAAAAGAATGTTGGTAGTGTTTACTGAACTTTGAAGATAATTTTCACTTTAGAATAACTTTAGTTGGAAACTAGTTAGAAAAAACTAGAAAAAACTGAAGGACTATTTAGTCCCAATATCAGATTTCTTATCAGTTCAAATCAATTATGACTTCGAAAATTGTTTCGAGTACCTACAATCCTCATGTTCAGAAAATTACATCAAGACAATTGTATTGGTTTCTATTAGTTTCGGTATGTGTTATAAAGATATTTGTTTATGAACATCAATATATCTTAGTAGACCGATATTCTAACTGTTTATATTAAGTCAGTCCTAGTGTTTATAAACAAAAAAATACAAGTATTTGCAAATAAGTATCTATGCAAGATACTGAATGTTCTTTGGCCTGATACCATCAGTAACAGACTACTGTAAGAGAGAACAAACCAACTTCCAAATGAAGAGAAAATTTGGCAAAGACTTTGGAAGTAAATAGGGTACACATTTAGGAAATCAATAAAATGTATCATTAGGCAAGCGCTAATTTGGAATCCTGAAAGAAAGACGAAAATAGGAAGGCTAAATAACATACTTCATCGGGAATCGGAATCAGACATTAACAGAATGAATAGCAACTAAAAAAAAACTGGAAAGGATTACCCAGGACAGGGTTGAGTGGAGAATGCTGGTGGTCGGCCTATGCTCCTCCACGAGAAGTAACAGGCGTAAGTATGTAACTTTAAGTGAATTCTTTCAATCCGTACATCGTTTTATATTTTATAGCCGATAAAAATGCATGTAATACATTTTCAACACATTAATGATAGAGGAACTATTCATAAATTATATAGTGAAGAATAATGTAAATTACTTGACTTCCGGACTTGTTTAGGTAATTTTATTGAAACCTCTTCACCAATTTTTTTGCCTATTATTATAAGAAAGATAAATAGTTTTATATTAAGATAGATAATATAGGGGAAATTGCAGACCTTTTTTCTCATTTACCTCATCCCTGAAAAACATTATTACATAATATATTGTATTAAGATCTGTTAATTGCAATTTATCAAAGCTGACTTTCCCGTGCTTTCTGGTTCTCGATGGTGGTCTAACATCAATTGACTCATGAATCTAATTATTAAAATTACTACAATCTTCACGAAATCTCCCTTCTGACTGTAATCATCATATGCTCACTGGTGACTGTTTCCAAGAGTTATTACCTGAAGCTCTAGTGAGAAGCCGTGACCAGTGGGTTTCGATCGGGTTTGTTGTGAGATTGCAATTCACTGAAGACGATGGTAAACGGTGGCGCAATTTCGTGGATTGGCTGAAGTTAAACATTAACGCTGTTGGATGCCGGATCAGTGGTCTAGACGTTAAGCGTTTGCGCACGAGACCGTTAAATGTTGGGTTCAAATCCCGCAAGGTGGGATCGTGGTTACGCACTGCTTAGGAGCCCCATACTAAGATGAAAAGGCCCTCCAGTGCTTCCAGGTTTCCATGTTGATCTAGCTTCAAATGACCCATGAATTTAACTATTAAATTACCTATTGATAATTTTTAGTAATGACAAACTAAATTACAATAAATATTCAATTAACAAAATAAAACCTTTTGGTTTGTAAATAATGTAAAAATTACCTTTCTTTTTGCGTCCAATTCTGATTTCTCTTTGAAAGTCTCGTTCATACTCTAATGAAAATAAGATTTACATAAGCAATAATCAAAAAAATCAACAAGACTATAATTTATAGACAAATCAATCATGAATAAAATAACAGGTTTCGGATTTTGCCGCGAAATTCACTCATTCATTTGGATAAATAGAGTTTCGACATTCTAGCTGATGTCAATTTGTGATGAAAACCCAAAATCTAATTTCTAACCATTACTATAAACTGTAAATCATAATTCTAATTCTCCACGCTAGTTGATAACACTCATTTGGTCCTAGTTATTAGGTGGACACTCTCAAGGTTAATATAGCGTCGCTCAAAGGTCGTTCATAAATTATAGTCTCACCAAAATATCGGTATAATCTGGTGGTACTTAATAAAATGTAGAACTATTTAAGCATACCATTGTGTTTTAATATAATGGGAATTTTTCAGCAATTAAGCATAATTTCTTGTTGGAAGATAGTATGTACTTTTACCGTTCTAGATCTAGCCCTGGAGAGGCTCCAGGCCTATGCTCCATTGGGGGTAACAGGTGTAAACAAAACATTAAACAAACATATTTTTCGTAATCAGTGTTCGAATAGGGAAATTTCCATCGACCACTTTTTTTTTAGGTTATCATCAGTGTTTCCTTCAAAAATAAATGAGCTATTTTATTTACGTCCCTTGTAACTAAACTGTTGTAATTTTAGCATTTAATGTCTTTCTCAACCTATTTATTTTAATCTCTATTATGAACTGTGACCAACAGTTATTAGCTGAAGTTCTAGTGAGAAGCCGTGACCAGTGGATTTCGACCGGGTCTGTTGTGAGATAGTAACTCACTGAAGACAATGGTAAACGGTGGCGCAATTTCGTGGATTGACTGTGGAGTAATGTGCTTATTTTGTGAATCAACGGATAGATCTTCTTTATATTGATTCTGTTTTTAATATTTTAGAATAGATTGTTTTCAGTAGAATTCATATATTTGTCTATATACAATGATTATTATATCCGACGTTGTATCATGAAGCTTTTCGATTTATTCACTCATAAATGTTTATGTATGTATCATACTGAAGTAAATTTCAAAAATATTTCATTGCTCACCTGGACCTTCATCATCATCTTCTTCTTTAGGCTTTTTAGTTTGTTTCGCCTCTGTTGGTTTCTCATCCTCATCATCTTCCTTTTCTAAGTTAAAAATAAATATAATTATATATATAGTGTTGTTCAATGTTTAAAGCAATCCATAATTTCAATAGTTGAAATCATAAGTCAATTGAAGTTAGACCACCATGGAAAACCTGAAAGCATGGTGGTCTAGCTTTAACTGACGCATGATCTCAACTGTTGAAATTACTACAATCTCCACAAAGGCCCATTATTGCTTCTTTTTTATACAAATAAAATGTTCTTTTAATTTGTGATCATTGCTGTCACCAGACAGTGTTAGTATTTAACTTCAGAAGTTTTCGTATCCAGTGAATAGCACAAAAATCTAAGTTCGTTATATGTTTTACAAGTTTATTTATGCCTTAATAAACTAAATGTGCATCAGCTCAAGAAGTTTTCATATTAAATGTAAATAACTCAGTTTTATTTTAGTTAAGATCATCAAGTTTCTTTTTCGAATGATTACAATGTGGCGTGTGCTACTGATCTCGACAGATATAAGTAGTATATATCATCAATCGAAATTGAAATGTCTCGAGGTACAAGGTTAAGAAGATCGATGAAAGTAGAATGAGAACATAGAGTGATTGGTATGGAAACCAGGGTACAATGAAATCTGGGACAATTGATTGAAATTTTGCAAATGAAGTATATACTGTATGGCTCTCAGATTTTTCTAAAATGACCTGTAACTTGTGTGTTCAAATACATTGGATTGATCCCACTTGTTTTCTCGTTCACTACAACAATATAGGTCTTGTTATCAACTTCTCATTGCGAAAGACTATTATGATTTTCATTTGACTAACAAACAAAATTCCTATTCCGTGATTTCTTATATTAATTATATTAATCAGATATGCTTAACTTAAAGCATATACAAGACAAAAGATGATTCAATAAAGCAAGACATCAAAAGTGTCTTATTATGCACTTGGTATTATTTGGCTTGTATCTTCCCATTGAGGTTTAAGACTCCAATTGACCAGTCTGTTATCGGCATATGTACATACTGTGCGTATGCCTTGATATTACCTTAATTCATAAGCCTTTTGTAAGCAATGATGTATAGTGGCTAGCAGTGGAATCCAGGACGCGCGATTTGTCTTAAGTGGATAACGCGATGGCGTTCGAAGCGAATGGTAGTGGGTTCCAGTCCCAGAGTGAACATCAACTCTGAGATGCAGGTACATCCAGCTGACGAATCCCAAGTAGGACGAAACGCGCGTCCTGGATTCCACTGCTAGTCACTATCCATAATTGCTTACAAAAAGTGTCTTATTATTATTGAGAAATAAGTCAACTAATAACTACATAGTCAAGTGAATACAGTAACTTAATAATCATCAAAAATGATATAGTTCATTACATAGGATTATTCACATCTAATATACATTTTCATATTTGTGTCAAACTTTCAACAACTAGATTATTACACAATCAATAATAAAGATATTCGATTGTTGAAGAAACCAACACAAAATTGTAACTGGGTAATTTGTTAATTAAATGATAACATAACACTAATCAAATATCATTACTGTTGAAGCCATCTATAGTTATAATTTTACAAGTCATAAATGTTTTCGATATATATTTATTAATTTCATTTACCTGGTGTCGTTTTTGTAACTCTTCTATCAACTGTAACTACTGCTCTTGACTTTCGAATTGTTTCTTCTGGAAACATTTAAACAAACAATTATATTTTCAATTAATTCTTTCTAGTTATTACTCTAATATATAGATTTATATATATATGTAAATCATTAGTTGAGATCATGAGTTAATTTAAACTAAACCACCATGGAAAACTTGGACGGCCGTTTCTTCCTAGTGTGGGACTCATCAGCAGTGCTCATCTATGATCTCGCCTTTCGAGATTCAAACATATCGGTCTCGCCTGCGAACGCTTGACCTCCCACTAACTTATTTAATAAGACTTGAGGCTTGATAGTTGTAACATTATCTAATGATCAGTTAATATTTGTAACTACAATGATGTTATTATAATGTCAAGTATACTTATAATGCAGAAAAATGTTTAAACTACAATCATTGTCAATCATGTTTCCAAGGAACAATTTTCTTGAAATAACGAAGAAATACATCAAAACTGAATGAATCTTAGCTGAAAAACAACTCGAACGATTAGAGTATTTCAGATCAAGACGTTTTTTATCTATAGTAAGTCATACTGCTTTGAATACTGAGATTAACATAAAATAAGAAATTTCCACATTTTTCATAGTTATGAAGGTATTCAGAAGCAAAAGGCGAGAATTTCAGTTCTCTTATCATTTAGAGTGTATTTTAGGTTATAGTAGATTAAACAAAATACATTCTTTAAAATTATGCTTCCATATAAAGACGAAACTTGTTAGGTATAGGACATAAACTATAAAGAATATTCAAATATTTTATGAACCCAAAAAGGATTCAACTTATTGCAAACCTGTTCATGTAATATTTTGTAAGAGATCTTAAAATATTTCAGACAAAAATGATTTATTCAGGACTAAAAAAATATTGCTTCTGAATAGTTCATAGAAAAAATATCAAAACAAATCTGTTTCATAAACAAAGGTGGATAGTGGCTAGCAGTGGGATCAAGGAAGTGAGTTTTGTTCTATTCAAGATTCGTCAGCTGTATGTACTTGCATTTCAGATTTGATGTTCACTCTGAGACTTGAACCCAGTACCGTTCGCTACAAACGCCATCGCGTTATCCACTCACCTACTGAGTCCTGATAGCCACTTGCTTGTGCAATGGGTTGAATCTAAATTCACTCAGTAATATTTGGCTTGTATCTACCCATTAAGCTTTAAGACTGCAATTGATCAGTCTGTTATTGGCATATGTGCATACTGTGTGTATGCCTCGAAATTGCCTTAATTCACAAGATTTTTGTAAGCAATAATGAATAGTGGCTAGCAATAGAATTCAGGAAGAATGTTTCATTCTATTCAAGACTCGTCAGCTGGATGTACTTGCATTTCAGAGTTGATCTTTACTCTAGGACTCGAACTCAGTACCATTCTTATCAAACGCCATCATATTATCCATTTATCTACTGAATCTGTGTCAAAATATGACAATATCATGAAAATTTCTCATCATTTGTGTTAATTATAAAGACCTTGGGTTGAAACTTTCTAATGTATCAGTTCTCAACAAAGTTTTCAATAAAATTCAGACAAATAATAATATTTTACTAGCTATTAACGTAAAAAGTCAATAGGAGAGTGCTGGTAGGCTGCCTATGATCCTTCACGAGGAGTAACAGACGTAAGTAAGTAATTTTAGTTAAACATCTTGATTTGTCGAAACAATAGTAATTTGAAAACTCAAATCTGAATTATGTATCCAGATAAAGAGATAATAACCAACTTATTATTACTTTGATAAATTCACAGCTTGGACTAATATCACCAGAAATCATTACCTTTATTGTTATTATTATTATTATTTTATTATGAGTATGAGGTTGTAGAGATTGTTGATTTAATAATTCAGATTATGAATCGACTAATATTAAAGCACCATTGAAAACCTTGAAGCAGTGGATAGACGTTTCGTCCTAGTACGAGACTCTTCAGCAGTGTGTACTTAATTAGTGGATATTTTGTTATGAATTCTTCGCCAAAATAATTCTTGAACGCCAAAATCTTCGGTTTATTTAACTACTTCAATCCTTTGATCTTAAATGAACTCTTTACATTCTGTATAACAATTATGTTACACTTCATTTTCGAATTCTCGTTAGTTTGTCCATCATTGTTTTAAATCTTCTATATCTATGTTTAAATGATATGAAGCTTATGTAAACCTTTATCAACCTTTTTTATCCTCACACGATTCATCTTATTTGTTCTTGAACTTTATTTAATTTTTACATCAACCCTCATATCTCCAAGTGACCTTACACTTGCTCGTATACAGATATGTATATAGTCATTATTGATAATCATTATTATTCTAATATAATTCATTATCAATGTGGATTGCTTCATATCATATGATTATCTGATTAGGTGATGTAATCAGCTAATGGTAAACAATTATGTAAAGGCAAGTAACTGTATCAAAATTGTATAATACTTTTTATACATATAGGACGTACCTGTTGGAGGCACTGTAAAGAAATTAAGTTAATGCAAAAACAAAAGCGATATTATCTTAACAAAGAAGATACTTCTACAAGTTTATGTCATTAAAACAATTGAACCCAGTATTGGCAAATACTTGACAGCTATAATGAAAAATTGCGTTTTCCTATTAATATACTTATTTCTACATACAATTGAAGGGCAGTAAATATAAGATGGACATACAAATATATATGGTGATTATGTACAGTCATAATAATTAACAATCACTTGAATATAGTTATATCCTAGTGAAGATTAAATTGGAGTTAACTTGTGAGACCTAGTAATGGAGTAATATTATATATATATATATATTTTTATTGCTTAAATCGATTATGCATATCTGTATTCCTCTTATTATAAGCTTCATTTTGACTTATAGACTATTATTATTCGATTTATTGTTCCTAAGTTATGTTTAGTTTATTGATTATAGTCTCCCACATTCATAGCCACTATTTGCACAAATTTTACTGCCTATATTTTTGGTGTGATGTGGTCTATTCGGCTGGTATATAAACTAAGTATGTTTGAAATAGATGATTCGCATAGTGGAAGATGTTGTTGCCGTTCTGAACTCAACTGGAAAAGCTAGGGGAAAAAAAGGACCAATAAAGATGAGAAGCTGCTCATACAGGTCGAAAGTCATTAGTTAGGCACAGTATTAACATTGTATAAGTCCCATTTTGATTAGCGAATAAATGAGGTGATAATTAATCAGAATTAAAGTCATAACCAATATCATCAACTTTATGATTAAAACTTTCACTGAAATTAAAAATCATGTTCCTTATTGATATTTGCCACACTTTTCTAAGCTTTACTATTTGTTAATTATTTTTAATTTGATCCCTTAAATGTCGAAATTCTATTGTTTAAACTCTAGCGAATGAAGGAAAATTCTATCCTATAAATACTTACTCATGAACTATGTAAATAATTTATAAACTTTAATAATTGGATTCACGAGTCAATTGAAGCTAGACCACAATGAAAAACCTGAAAGTACTGGACGGCCGTTTCATTCTAATATGGGACTCCTAGGCTGTGCTCATCCACGGTCCCATCTCGGGAGACTCGAACTTAGGACCTATCAGTTCTGATTATAATCATCATATGTTCACTAGTGACTGGCTTCAAGAGGTATTTACTAGAGTTCTAGTAAGAAACAGTGACCAGTGAAGTTCAACTGGGTCTGTTGTGAGATAGTAACTCACTGAAGACAATGGTGGAGATTGATAGGTTCCGGTGAGTTCTCACTATTGAGGAGTTCCATACTAAGATGAAACGGTGGTCCAGTGCTTCTAGGTTTTCCATGGTGATCAAGCTCTGAATGACTCATGAATTTAATTATTAAAATTATTATAATATCCGCAAAATCCCCTCTGATTAAAATTTATAAATTACTAAGTATGTAATTAAATTGAATTGGGAGAAATGGCAATCAAATGATTGGCGATTAAAAAATCAGATTAATTAATGGAGTTTATGATTGGTGATGAATGTTAATCATTCCATTTTAAAGAAAGTATCCATACGATAGTGTATTTTTTAATTAAAGAAGTTTTGCAAGGACAGATTTTACATATTACATAATGTATAAAAGAAAAAAATAATATTTACTCAGTTGGACAGTAATACGACTTACCTTTACGTGGTGCTTTAGTAATTTTTATAGTACGTGGTATTATGGTTTCTTCACTCTCGATTTCTGTAAAAACGTCCCATCCTTTTTCTAAAATAATGGAAAATAAATTAAGACATTGATTAGTTTTATGCAACTATATACTAGTAATTCTGTATGATTATCCTGTACCATCATGTTAACCTTCGAGGTGATTCGATTCATGTAAAATAGTAGTAAATACTGATAGATGTATGATAAATATCATCCTGGTTGTTAAAAGATCAGCGTCAACTATCATAGATTGGCTATACTCAAATTAATGGAAATTTGGACTTTGATGAAATGATAGCACGTCATCTGAAGTAGGACTTGAACGTATTGAGTGTGATTACATATGAAACTGTAAAATGATACTAATGAAAATTTCCCAAGTAACCATTTCAGTCCTAAACATTAATGGAAAGATTCAAACAACCAAAACAGAATGAATAAAAACTTCACCCCATTATACAAGCTAGTGATTAACTGGACTCGGTAGCTAAGTGGATAACATACTGGCTTTTGAAGTGAACGTTAATGGGTTTGAATCCTGGAGTGAACATCAGTTCTAGGATGCAGGTGCATACAGTTGATGAGTCCTAAGTAAGACGAAACGCACGCTATGTATTATACTTCTGACCACCATTTGTTTCTGCTTACATTTTTCTTTATATTTTATCAGTTCTCCAATTAATGTTTATTTGTGATGAAAATTAACCTTATGTTGTAGATAATTACTTTCTAATACTAGCTAGATTACGAGGAAATGAACGTAGAAATATGAAAGCAAACATATCAATTTATTACATTTCACCTTGAGGTACTGTGAACTGCATTGTTTTTTCTTGTTTACCTCCAGTTCCAGAAATATTGTACTCTTTTATTGTATTCCAGTCACTCCAATCTATTTAATTCAGAATATATCTGGTAAAATTCATTTTACCTGTCTCTTCTTCCACAAATGAACTATTTTTGTCACCACCACTTTTAACCTTTAGCTTAGCTTTATCGTAAACATAAATAATAAAATATTAATTAAGTAAATGTTACAATTTATATTTCATAAATAGTTTTATATATATCACATTGTTGATTAACGATAACAATTAAATGGATTATGCAACTCATTATGATAAGTAACATTAAAGAGTATAAATTAACAATGGCATGGTGAATGCTATTTATGCCTATCGAAATAAATAGTATGTAACATCAATCTGAAGTGAAAAACTTGGCGGCAGAAGGCTATGAAGGTTGACTTGATGAGAATAGGATCGGAATTCGAAAGGAATTGTAAATCGAAAAAATCATACAGAATGTGAAAGACAAGTGACATGAATTTGAAAATGAAGTATCCAGTATATGGTTCTCATATTTTACCGAGATATTCTGTTTTTTCGTGTTAAAATACATTGGTTATCACCCACTTGTGTTCCCGTTCACAACAGTACTGGTGCGATATATGCTACTTATATTAGCAGATATAAGTAGTATGTACCACCAATTAGAAGTGAAAATTCTAGCAGCAGACAATTAAGAGAACCGTACTAAGGAGGATAGGAATGTAAAAAAGGTGAAATTGTAGTAATAACAAAAATGGAGGAACGATAAAGTTAGTAAGAGACAATTGGTGGATGATGTGCAAATGAAGTTTTGAACGTATGGTCATCATATTTTACGATGATATTATGTTCGAATACGTTGATCTTTACTTCTTACTAACATTTTACCTATCATTGTATAAGTGTAAGTGTTATGACCTTGGATGTCTGCCTTTTTCTATCATACGAATTATCTACCAATCCGAATACGACTTATACGAATCTTCACACTAGGCCGAACAATGACGTTCAACCGGTGTGGGCAGTCTAGCGTCCTTATTGGTCCTATGTCCTCCAAGCACTTTCACTTGAGTCCAGAACACAATATCAGCTTCGAATCAGAGCAGATCGTTTATTTCAAACATACTCGGTTTATATATCAACCAGACAGACCACAACGCACCATAAATTAGAAAATAACATGTGTACACAAATAAGCCAAAAAGTGGCTGTGAACGAGGGAGATAATAATTAATAGACTGAACAGAGATTAAGAACCGTAAATCGTATAATAATAAATTATAGGTCAAAATAAAGCTTATAATAAGAGGAATATAAATATACATAATCTAATTGTTGAATAGTTATACCATAAGAACATTTATAGAATATTAGTCTATTAACAGTCTTCGGAAGTTACCTATAACTTAATCTTCACTGGGTTATAACAGTAAGGTTTTAACATCACATTCAAAGTTGATCGATCATCTCAGATTGAATGCAGTAGTGGGAAAATTATATCATCGTTTAAATGTGCTATTGTATAATAGTTGATTGAACTGTAGTATAATTTTACTTCGTAATTTGTTTAAAGATAAAGACGATGGGGTAATCTGAATGTAGATGATAATCCTTAGAGTAAATAAATTCTAGCTATTATCTCAAGATTCTTTAATTAAATATTTTATTTGTATATTCAAAATCTTTAACAGTAAATCCAATCAATAATACTTTACTTGATAGGAACACCGGATTCAAGTCTATCATCGTTTAAACCTGATAACAGCAGATGAAGATAGTTTTATGGAAAACTAATAGTAGTTTTAAATTCACATAATATTGTTTACTTGAATCGTCCGATTGACATCTGTCACTGCAGTTGATCAGTTTGTTATTGGCATATGTGTATGATGTGTGTATTGCCTCGATATTGACTACCAGGACTCAGTAGCTAAGTGGATAAGGTGATAGGGTTTGAAATGTACGGTACTGGGTTCGAGTCCCAGAGTGAACATCAACTCTTAGATGCAGGCACACCTAGCTGACGTGTCTCGAATATGATGAAATGCGCGTCGAACTAGATTCCACTTCTAGCCACTATTCCTCTTTGCTTATAACAGTACCTTTCTTTTCAGCGAGTGAAATAGAATGATATTTTAGTATGACTTAGAAACTTGTGAAAAATCGATTGTTTTAGTCAAAAGAATATATTACAAATGGAAAAAAGAACATAAATCAAGGTATATTTTTTTTAACAAATTTCTTACCTGCAGTAACATAAAGATCAGAATTCAATAGTGTATAAATAAAACCTATCCATTGTAACCGCTGGAATAAGTTGTAGATAGTATGCATTATTATCAAATGAATACCAAAATTCCTTTTTTTTGCTACTTATTCACCATGGTTTATATACCATGATTTTCTTTTCTATTAGTTAACTGTGAAATCGATTCCCTGTTAATCGAATGTGTTGGCAGTTAAGTTTTAGAAACAGTTTAATATTATGTATAAGCATTGAAAGCTGTCCATATAGTTCTGTCACTTTGTAAATTAGGTTAATTTATCGACTTTTGACCATTTAGTCGATTTATTGATTAATCAAAAGAGCTATACATTATTATGTCATTCCATGCATAGTGACTACAATATCCTAAAAGCATTGAAGTACATTTTACCGTTATTTTTTGTTGTTGTTGTTGGTAATTTGGATTGTATTATTCAACAAATCTATTTAGGGAAATAGTTTTATTCATTAAATGAAAAGTATTCATAAGCCTAGTTAGTTGTTCTTAAAATGCAATGGAGATTGTCACATATTGAAATACACAATCAAGAATTCATAGATCATGAATGATTGAGCATTCACCTATCGCAAAAAGCACAGTAATATTCGATCACTTATGTTATATTACCAACTTCTGTCACTTTGCTGTTGTCATTTTCGATTGACAATGATGAATAACGACCTTTTAATAAAGCAGTTTGACTTCATAACTAGAAGTTTCCACTAAGATTTCTTAGTGAACGAATTTGAAGCTGGTTACTAATAGCTACAATAATATAATAGTTTTTTCAAAGGATTATTCATTTGTGAACAATTCTTCTAGCTGACTTATCAATATATCGCAAACTTTACTCCTAACAACTAAACAAAAGTGTTATTGCCCCATTTCACTGATGTTGAAAACTATATAGGATGTAAAAATCACAATGTACAAACAATTCAGAGTTATTACTTGTTTTCAAATACTAATTGTCACTGTTTAACACCAAGAAATAATAGAATTTATGAATATTTCAAAACTGATTCTCCAGTAAGTTTGTTAATTCAATGAAATTACAATGTAATAGAAAAGAATTGTGAACCTTCGGCTTGAGTTAATAATTCACCGCTTCATTTGAAATCAAAAGATATCTTATTCTGGTTTGATATTGATCTCTTATCCTTCTGATCTTTCTGTAACTTGTTAATATATCCAGTATTTCACTCTGGAATATGACTCTAACATTTAAAGTTGAGATACCACCTATCGAACGAACATAGATTTGGATGCAATTCTTAATCATGAAGATGATGTTGTTTCTATAAACTAGGGATAATTCAATGACTGAAACAAAAACATAGACGAATATGCTCTCGCCAATGGACTTTGTGACATATGCCATCTTGCTCAGCCACCGAGTGAAACACTTGAAGTATGAACTTAGTTTGTTCCTCGTTGCAATGCTATGTTTCACTCGTTTTGTGATTATGACCCACAATCTCAATTCCTTGATTCCATTGTCCAATATGCGACACTCTCAAGGTTAATTTAGCGTCGCTCAAAGGTCATCCATAAATTATAGTCTCACCCTTCAATATTTTTTAGATTATCAGTTTAGGGGTTGTGGAGATTATTAAGTTTTTTGATTGAGATCATGAACCGATTGGTGTTAGACCACCTTTGGAAACCTGGAAGCACTGGACGGCCGTTTCGTCGTATTGTGGGACTCCTCAGCCGTGCGCATCTACGATCCTGCTCACGGGATTCGAACCCAGGGCCTTCGGTCTCTCGCGCGAACGCTTAACCTACTGGACTATTGAGCCGGTATCCAGGTTTCCAAAGGTGGTCTAACATCAATCGGTTCATGATCTCAATCAAAACAATTTTAATATTGATGAATTAGCGAAATAACGTAACAACCTATTCTATGAATATAATATTACATTAAATGTCGAAACCTTTTTAAAGCAAAACGAAACACATCCGTTGTATTGAAAATTACCATTTGTAAGTATCCCCTATACATAAATTATTATTCATTTACAAAAGTGTAAACTGTTATTCATTAACCGATCTTTGACGTTTAGCATAAATAAGATGTATCTTATATATGATCTTGTAACAGTGATTTATTCAAATGTTTACACACATACAAAGATCATTACTAGCTCAATTGATATGTTAAAATAATATATGGAAACACTTAAATGGAAATCTGCTTTCTTCTTATGTCTAGTATGGTATGGTATAGGATAATATAGTATGGTGGTCTAATAGAATTGAAGTGCCTTTTATTCAGAATGTACAATTTGATATCAAAACACAGATGGAACAGTCTGACAGAATTTTGTTGTAAACTAGAATTCAAATGTGAAAATGCAAATTTTGACGTCCAGTCAAACAAGTGTATGCTACTTTGATTTGACCTAATCAGATTACAGAGATGTATAATTTACAAGCACAATTTACAAATTACTATAGACGAAAATATGTTTGTTAATTATTACATGAGATCACACTTTCAAAAACAAGTTAATCAATTACTTATTTTTTAATAATTAAATAATTAGTATCAGAAGAAGTTTTGGGAATATTATAGTGAGTTTAATAGTTAAAATCATGGGTCAATTAAAGCTTGACAACTATGGAAAACCTGGAAGCACTGGACGGTTGTTCCGTTCTACTGCGTACTGCTGAGGAGTCCCACAATAAAACGAAACGGCATTTCAGGGCTTCCAGGTTTCCACGATGGTCTAGCTTTAGTGAACTCATGATCTCGACCATTGAAATTAAATAATTATAAACTGAATGAAATTCTTCAATTGGACATACAACCAAAATAAAGAAGTAAACAATGACAGGTTAAAAGATAATCTACAACCAATCTACATCGAGGTCTATAGGACAAGCTGTGAGCCATATATGGAGAAATTCGAACACTTTACTTCTACCTGAAGTTTGTCCTGATGGTTTCGTTCAGAATAACGATGAAAGCTCCGCGACCAAACCTTCCTGCTCAAAGAACAAAACTCCATCGAAACCCTTTTAAATCTACATTTCAGTATTATCTTAAGACAACCGCTAATATTGAATTCCATGAAATTATTTTTCTTCACAATACATACATTATTTATTTCAACATGGAGCCTCTCCGGGGCTACTGCCGGTTCCAAGCCCGAATAAAGGAGGAGGGTTGGAGATAAGGATAGCGACTCTATCCCGTGGAAAACTAACTCGCTACAAAAACGCTAATCAGAAAAAAAATAATTTTCAAGTATTTAGTACTATAATTTTATACACATAACTTACAATTCCATTTGGTAGTATAATTAAACGAAAAAGATGGTTTACACAGAAGATAAATGTAGATCGGTTATTAATTACAAAAACATTAAATATATATCTATTATAACAATGACAAGATCATAATACCATTATTGTTTTTAATAGTACAGTTAACAATGAATCATAATGATATGATAAACTAAGAATAGTTGGATAATATGATTGAATGTTAAACATGTTTGAAGTGTTAGTTAAAATAACGCAGTTGATAATAGTGAAAACAATAGGATTTACATTAATGAATGATGGATAAGTGTGAATATTAAAGATAGAGTATGTATGATAAATATTTAAAACGATATCAGTCAAAAACGGTGGTGTGGTTGTGGTACGGTGTTCCAGCCATGTAAGGTTGGTAAAACCTTAACTGGTGAAGTCGGTGTGGTTTATCTGGAATTGGATTCAATATTGTCAAGGCTCATAAACACACTGCATGAATGTGATTGGTTGAAGAAATCGTTATACCTGGGTTCTGGCACACAGCCGCCATATGAGAAGTAGGGCATTGTCAGAAGATATACTTACCCTGGACTTTTATAGTCTGTATGCATACTGGTAATACACAAGTTTTTCATCCATGTATCCCACGGAATACACACAGTTATATTCGCACATCTGGCAGGGTAAATGGTCACCTTTCCCTTAGAAACGTGTTTTCCACCACAGACTGCCACTTACACATTATAAGCATATCACTAGTAATAAAACCTTTGCCGCAACATTTCATGACGCACACATATGCATAAGCAGTCTTTTGGGGAAATTAGTGGTTACCTCTTCCTAGTGTTTGCTACCATACTATGTCTTCAACTTGAAAAATTAGACCGCTGATTTTATTAGACATAATGCATCCACTTTTTCAGCTAACGTTTCTTTTGCGAGTCAACGCGCGCACCCATTGCATATACCTAAATATATGAAATACATAAGCAGGGGCTCATGCGATTCTTCCGCATTAGCATATACATCGGGCATCCCGCAACGTATTTTTTAAAAACTTTATAGCAAAGATGGATAAAGGCTAGTAGTGCAATCCACGATACGAGTGTCGTCCTATTCAATACTCGTCAGCTGGATGTACCTACATCTCAAAGTTGAAGTTCACTTTAAACCTTGAACCCAGTACTGTTTGCTTCATTTAACTAATGACTCTTG